TCACAAAGCTAACAGAGGGAAAATTCTTAGGAATCCACCTCCAGGAGCTTTATCAAGCCATGGCTTGATAAAGCTCCTGGAGAGCGAAACGTTGCCACAATAAATGTCACATTAGTTGCACTTGTGTCCTTTTACTTTACATATTGTCGGTAATTCTACCAACTTTATTACAATCCACCTCGATAATAGACTCAAATTTCATACACATATACAACAAATTTCTAAGAAAATTTCCAAGACTGTAGGCATACTATCGAAGATACGGTACTATGTTCCACAGTCAGCCCTCCTGGCCCTTTATCACTCCCTTATTTACCCCTATCTCACCTATGGAATTTGTGCATGGGGCTCAACAACAACTAACCATCTCAGACCACTAATTACCCAACAAAAGGCTGCAGTTAGAATGATAACAAATTCTCACTACAGGCAGCACACTCCACCAATATTCAAAACACTCAACCTACTCACCATACAAAACATCCATACTTATTATTGCACTTATTACATACATAGAACACTTAACTCTGATATTAACCTCCCCTCAAACATCTCCTTGCCAACCTCAACAGAACACATGACCATAATACAAGGCACAGATCACTCTTTGATGCTCCTCGTGTCCATCTCACGCTATGCAAAAACTCAATGCACATAAAAGGCCCTAAAATCTGGAATTCATTACCTTTAAATAAAAAGAAACACTACCTGTTTATAAATTCAAGTCTCTTCTCAAAGTTCACTTACTCACTCAAAACCAAATAAATACCGAATAACTGAACCATATAAATTGTATATCCTAAATGTTACTCACAATTATATCACACAAATGTTAAACCTAACTTTGTTATTTTTTTTAAATACACTACCTGACAGAATACTCCATTCTACTGAATGAACAGCAATGCATGCAACCATAGGACCTGTCTTTGTAATACTCATTTGTATTTTATAGTTATCTGTTTACAATAATGTCTTATCACTGATTTCATCATTGCTTAGTTAATCTTAAGTTAATTTTAAGCCAGCCCGTAATGTTATGCATATAAGTGGCTTTGGCATGCTGCTCTTACGTGTATTTTTTGTACCTCTGTTTGTATGTATGCTAAGCGGGTTATTTATGTATTGCTCCAATCACGTGTTGTGCCTTTATGTTCTTCAAATAGTTAAGAAACGTTTCCGGAAATAACTTTGATTGGAACAATATTTCGACCTCTTATGATCTTCACACAAATACAAATCTCTTTCAAAATTACTGTACAAAACATACAATAATCCGAAGACCCATGTCATGCATAGAATTTCAAAACTTAGATTATACTGTACATAAATGCAGTTTTCTTTTAATTTTTAAGGGTGTAACATGGTATTGATATGAACTTAAAACAAATACAAGAATTGTAAATTAACTAATTTACATTGCAAAACGATACAGTGAATTATAGGTTTAATAAGAATTATTCCTGCAAGATAATTCTCACAGGATATATATCCTGAGGAGTGTATCCCTCTCAGTATATATATATATATATATATATATATATATATATTATATATATATTTATATATATATATATATATATATATATATATATATATATATATATATATATATATATTATGCTTTGCATAACAATAGGCTTTCTATAAAGTAGTTTATATATATCATTTACCCTAAATGTATAATATACTGCACTCCAGTTTATATTGTTTAGAGGTGGGGCAGAAAGTCTTCTTCTTAGGATAAGATAATATATGATTTTCAGATTTTTAACCCCGGAGGGGTGTTAGCCACCTATGCTAACCCAAGAAGGTCAGTGCGTCATCTAGGACTATTTGTCTTATTTCCACTGGGGTCTTTAAATCTTCCTCGTCATCAGGACATTATTCACACCATGTACAATTCCAGTCGTCGTGTATGCAGATCCCACCGCTGATCAAGTATTGGGCAACGTTCGGAAAAGTCCACAGGTTTGTCAGCGAGCTAGTTCCGTTACCGAGAGGACTGCTCTCTGAAGGAACACTTAAGGAACTCAATTTAATGTCTTTAAATGGGTGAAAAAAGCAGAGAAGTCACGCTTTATTATCCGTACCTCAAACACCTATATAATACACGATAGTCTTTCAATCTGCATAGAAGTAGATAGTTCTTCCCATAAGATAGCTTCGGGGTGGACTCTGCTATCTGTCGCACCTTTGTTGATACTGTTATATTGAAAGGATGGTTAGGGAGAATTATGATACGAGGACATGGATGCTGGAAGGCCAGGTGAACAACGGGGATGCTGGGAAATACTTATTCAACTTAGCTGTAATAAAAAAAGTGGAATGATTGGCAAGAGGTGGAAGCCCAATTATATACACAGCTTTCAGATAACGTATGACAAGGCTCATAAAAACTGCGTATTCCAACAACTCCCTGACCGGATAATTCCTCTGCCTAACTAACCAGCGCTGACAACCACAGCTGTAACACTAACACCCATGACCACTTTACCTATACACACCAGACCGTCACATGAGATAGCAATGTGCTGGATATTTACCATAGTTTCATTTTTAACGTCAACTCACTAGGCTAATCTCGCATATACATTAGAGCAGCCGCTTAAAAGTTACTCTGTTAGGTTTGAAGTCTATCGACTAAATGAAGATCCTTAAGGATGGATATCACATATTCATTACCAGTTAAAAACACTTTAATATAGGCATTTAGTAAGCCCTCGGTGAATATATATAGTGAGATATAACCCTCTCAGTGTATATATATTGAAAATATAAATTTTTCAGTGCTTATATATACTAAAAGACATAAACCTTTCGGTGTATATACTCCAACATAATGTTATTGTAACCCTGTTTTTAATAATAAATTTAATAGGAACTGAAGAACATAGATTATTACATATACTCAAGAACTGATGTTACAAATGCCATTTATAACCCAAAAATGTTTAGTGATTTGACCTACAGAATGATACTGCGACTAAATATTTGGCAAGACGAATGTCACAATACCGTGGCTGGAACAGTTCACAATTAGGTATAACGGACACAAGTGCAACTAATATGACATTTTATTGCGGCAACGTTTCGCTCTCCAGGAGATTTGTTAAGCCAGCTTGACAAAGCTCCTGAAGAGCGAAACGTTGCCACAATAAAATGTCACATTAGTTGCACTTGTGTCCTTTTTACCCAACATATTGTGGGTAATTCTATCATTAATGCAATTCACAATTAACCCACAATACCGTGGTTGGAACACTCCACAACCTGCCCTCACTTTATGGAAGTTAGACTATGTTTGGGTCCGCCGAGGATGGACCGAAACGTCGGCTAAGGTTTGTGACCTGATAATGATTTAAAACAGACCGAAACGCCATCTAAAGTTCCTCGCAGAAGAGCGCTTTATTTGTCAATTTATGTTAAGAAATAGCCCACATTCTGGAGGGCAAAATGCACTCCCGGTCCGTTTCCGCTCGTTTCCGGACCGTCCTGGATCATTACCAGTAATGGTGGCAGGAAGTTCTTAGCTTAAGAATGTCTCCCACATCTCTAGCACTGAATCCTAAACATTACCAAGAACCACAAGCAACATCAGACAAAGGGTTATGCTAATTCAGTCCTTGAATGATGAAGATTCCATTTTCTCTAACGCAGCTGAGGGCCTCTTTTGCATTCTCTCTGAACAACACGAGTTACCCCTTAAAAAAAAACTTTGGTAACCCTTAAAAAGCAACAACAACAACAATACAAATTTTTTTAATTTCCGGTTTGTGTAATCATTTAAGTGGTTCTGTCAGTCTCTCAGTATATCTTTTTAGTGCATGTACGCTGAAAGTTTACTTTAATCTGTGTTAGGGATTAATAAATAAATAAATAAAAAAGCATCCTTAGTTGGTGGTGGTACACAGGTGACATACATCCTTAATGACCCTCGTGTACTCAACAGGTTTTTTAAAGCTAATATCAACCAAGCAGTTGCGTGTGCAGTCACCTGTAGTGCCGTCAGTGATAATGTTTTATAATGCAATCATGTTCTGTGTCACCGGGCCACACCTCTCTTACATCATATTTATTTTCAGTTTGACCACTAATGCGGCATGAGAGCTCATATATAAATTTTCACTTTGCTTTCACTGTCAACTCACTTGGCCATTTGGTTAAGTGTTTTGTTTTCCATTTCTTAGTCACCTGCTATAATGTATTTTTTTTTATTTTAATCACAGGGAAGCGCTAAACCCGTAGGGTTATACAGCGCATGTGGGGGGATGGAAGGTATTCAGGCTCAATTCAGGGAACTGGAGCACAGATCCAATTCCCTAGATCAAGAGCCCCTCATCAGCATCAAGGAACCTCCCTTGAGGGGCTGCTATAATGTAATGTTTTCATTGCCTAGCCATTGACTCTGCGCATTACTGCTACTTTGAATTTCGACATCTAAGATTCATCCAGGTGGAGAAAACAAGCATATAGGGGGGAAAAAAATCGCCTAATATTGGGCATGTCTCATTTGGGTGAGAGTATGTTCTTGGGGCCTAAGTCGAAAATTAATACTTATTTATTTTACTTTAACTGGGAATGGGAGCGCTAAATCCGTAGGGATCAACCCAATGGGACATGTGAGCCATTCAGGTTTGACTCAGATGAGAGAAGGGTAAGTCTAGTTTCTAGGATCAAGAGCCAATCACCAGTATCAAGGCACTTGCCCCCCTTCCCCACTGAGGGATAAACAAGTTTAGGAACGTGCATTTCTCTGCATCAGAATATAATAAATCAAAGGCAACTCCTCCGTTATAGGTTTCACCAGGGACACCCATACACAAATTTTCACCTTCATAATGTACATCCGGGGCATAGCACCACAGATTTCATCACGGGTACCATTCAAAAAATTTTAACAAGGGCCCATCCCATCACTGATTAAACCAGGGGCACCCCCTCCACAACTTCACCGGAGGCACCCCTCCATTGGATAAACCAAAGGCACTCCTCCATACCTCCACGAGCACTAAAACAACACTGCTGACGACCATGAGGAGCGACCTGTTACCCCGCACACTCTTCTGTCCACACTAACGCGAGGTGCTCACCACAGCTATCTTATCTAGGCCAGGATGTGCTTCTCCTCTTATCAGTTCGTTTCTTTGGGCTGTATGTACTTCCTAATGATGTGTTGAGTGGGGGATAGGGGTGTGCTGTAGGCTCGTACGCTTTGCCTTGGAGGCGTACATGGAGAACTGGAATTGGGTTTAGTGTATTTGTGGAGTTGCGCAAATAAGGGACAAGTTAGGTACAGTATATCCGGTGTTGTGTAGGGGAACTGTGGGTGCGTACGTGTGTTGACATACTACTGCCTCTCATACACAATATCTTGTCTGCCCGTCTTCTGACACACGATACACTACTGCCTCTCAGACAATGTCTTGTCTCCCCGTCTTCCCGACACACTGCTGCCTCTCGGGCACAGTATTGTCTGCCCATCTTCCTGACATACTACTGCCTCTCATACACAATGTCTTGTCTGCCCGTTTTCTGACACACAATACACTACTGCCTCTCAAACAATGTCTTGTCTCCCCGTCTTCCCAACACACTGCTGCCTCTCGGGCACAGTCTTGTCTGCCCATCTTCCTGACATATTACTGCCTCTCATACACAATGTCTTGTCTGCCCGTCTTCTGACACACAATACACTACTGCCTCTCAGACAATGTCTTGTCTCCCCGTCTTCCCGACACACTGCTGCCTCTCGGGCACAGTATTGTCTGCCCATCTTCCTGACATATTACTGCCTCTCATACACAATGTCTTGTCTCCCCGTCTTGACACACGGCGCACTACTGCCTCTTAGACAATGTCTTGTCTCCCCGTCTTCCCGACGCACTGCTGCCTCTCGGGCACAGTCTTGTCTGCCCATCTTCCTGACATACTACAGCCTCTCAGACACAATGTCTTGTCTGTCCGTCTTCCCGACACACTACTGCCTCTCAGTCTTGTCTGCCCATCTTCCTGACATCTTCAGACACAATGTGTTGTCTGCCCATCTTCCTGACATATTACTGCCTAAAGTTGGTACCTGACCAGCCGGGCCGTGGCTCGTACGTTGGATTGCGTGCAGCCAGCAGTAACAGCCTGGTTGATCAGGCTCTGATCCACCAGGAGGCCTGGTCACAGACCGGCCGCGGGGGCGTTGACCCCCGGAACTCTCTCCAGGTAAACAATGTCTTGAACATTAAAATGGTATAAAATACCGACAGGTTGTTAGGTAAGACACATATGCAACAGTTAGGTATCTTTATTATGAAACGTTTCGCCTACACAGTAGGCTTCTTCAGTCAATGAACATTAGAATGGTATAAAATACCGACAGATTGTTAGGTAAGACACATATGCAACAGTTAGGTATCTTTATTTTGAAACGTTTCGCCTACACAGTAGGCTTCTTCAGTCGAGTACAGAAAAGTTGATAGAAGCAGAAGATACTTGAAGACGATGTAATCAGTCCATCACCCTTAAAGTTTTGAGGTGGTCAGTCCCTCAGTCTGGAGAAGAGCATTGTTCCATAGTATGAAACAAGGGAGGGACTGACCACCTCAAAACTTTAAGGGTGATGGACTGATTACATCGTCTTCAAGTATCTTCTGCTTCTATCAACTTTTCTGTACTTGACTGAAGAAGCCTACTGTGTAGGCGAAACGTTTCATAATAAAGATACCTAACTGTTGCATATGTGTCTTACCTAACAAACAATGTCTTGTCTGTCCGTCTTCCCGAAACACTTCTGCCTCTCAGACAGTCTTGTCTGACCATCTTCCAGACATACTACTGCCTCTCAGACACAGTGTCTTGTCTGCCCGTCTTCCTGACATACTACTGCCTCTCAGACACAGTGTCTTGTCTGCCCGTCTTCCTGACATACTACTGCCTCTCAGACACAAAGTGTTGTCTGTCAGTCTTCCCGACACACTGCGGCCTATCAGACAGTCTTGTCTGCCCGTCTTCCTGACATACTACTGCCTCTCAGACACAATGTGTTGTCTGTCCGTCTTCCTGACACACTACTGCCTCTCAGACACAACATCTGCATACTACCTTCTGCTTCCTCGTCTACTCTGCAAGTGCTGTAAGACATGCGAATCCTACGGCCTCAAAAATTGACGAGAGAGTACAGAACTAGGCTAGGTATGAGGAAAACAAAAACATAATAAACTGTAGAGATTTATAAGAACAAGGATGAATGAAAGCAAACTACAGACCACTTATCTTGCTGATCTACTGACAACTCAGTCTGCTAAATTACTGACCATTAAGTCTGCTAAACTACTGGCCAGTCGGTCTGCTAAACTACTGACCACTAAATCTGCTAAACTATTGACTACTCAGTTTGCTAAACTACTGACCACTCAGCCTACTAAGCTTCCAGTCTAATCACCAAAATTTTTATCATAATCCCCTAAAAAAAAAAAAAAACTCGTCAGGGATGGTGATGGAGTAGTGTTGATGTCAGGTGCAAGAAATGTGAATTGGGTTCATGCGTTAGAGGATCCCAGTGGAAATAAGACATACTGCTTGGCTGTAATGAGTTATCCTGAGTTGTTGACCCTCTTTCCCTTGAGGCAAAGTTGGAGTAATGAGCAAATGTTAGTTAGGAAGTTATAGACGGAAATCTGCAACGCAGGTGATGTTTTCAGAGAAAGTAGCTGGAGTGGGGACATCAGAACGGTGAAGAAGGGGTAAACAATGAAAATTATATGCTTTATTATTATTATTATTATTATTATTATTATTATTATTATTATTATTATTATAGCTATAGAGTGCTTATTTTTCTCATTGAAAAACAGGAAAGTCAGTAAGGAAGGTGTTTAACTGTCAACAAGACTTGACGGTTCCTCCTGAGAGGCCCTGGACTTGTCTCCAAATACCGACAGAATATAAAAAAATATATAGTTGAGGGAGCTCTAAACTACTATGGGTCACAGAAGGGACGGAGTACAGAGCAGTGACGGCCACTGTGTTGGCAATACCTTCGTTGTTGACATTCAGGTGGCAAACTGTCTACGTCAGGTATCCTTAGTGTGTGATATGTGCATTCCTCACTCTCCTGTTGTGAGTTTCAACTGAGAGAATGCGCACTCAGGTGTGTGTACTTACCTATTTGTGGTTCCAGGGGTCGAGTCACAGCTCCTGTGTGAGTATGTGTGTGTCAGGGCATATACACCCAGAGGTGTGTGCATTTCCGTATATATTCACCGAGTAAATTTATATCTCGATATACTAAGAAAAAGAACGTATTTCTCGGTGTATAATATACCGGTGTATCGCAGCGCTGTATAGCCCTTGTGGTTTAGCGCTTCTTTATTATTATTATAATAATAATAATATACTGGTGTATCTCATTAAGTGTCTGTACTCTCTTGACCACCGCTCACAGGATGGGTATAGGGTTCACAATGAAGATATTAAGCTCCTAATACCTGCTGCTCATGTTCGCCTGTTGAAGGTCGGAGTCAAGGGAAGGAACTATAGATCCCAGTGAAAATAGGCCGTATTGCTCGATTTTATTGAGTTATTGTGGGTTGTTAACCCCTTTGAGTCATTATTAATATTTTTTATGGGTTGTCATGCAGCTCCAAGGGTATGATAAGTAATCGAATTTAGGTGAGGGAAAGTGATGATAGTTGCAATTGCTGGGGTTAAGAGGATGTCACCCGCATCGTATTTAAATATTCGTAGGAAGTCTTATTATGTGTACTAGTATACTGTGTAGTGACTACTTGAGAGGAAATATTACATAGTGTCTAACTGCGCCGTCAGTGTGAAGGACTCACTGATTCATGGACCATCACCTGAGGAGCAGCAGTCAAGCACGTTACGCCTGCCTCACTCAGAATTTTAATTATGATGATTGTGTGTCCATTTCGCATTGCGTCGGCATTACCGGTACCGCTTACACTTTACCAGTTGTCTGGAAATATATCAAATAGTTATAATTATGACCATAATTTCTAAAGGGGTGGACGGGTAAGCAAGTAAGGCCTCAGTCAGATAACCAAAAGGTCCAACTGCGGGTGACTAAGACCCGCGTCATGAATCACTTGCCCTGATTCCTGACAAACCTTGCCTAACCTAATCGTCTGAAAACAAGTAACTTTGACTATCTTGGGTTATTCTAGGTAATTGCACATATGTTACTATGGAAAATAACTGTAATTGTACGCTAAGAGACAGTAAGTGTCAGGGGCCCAAGACTGTTCAACTGCCTCCCAGCATACATAAAGGGAGTAACCAATAGACCCCTGGCTGTCTTCAATGAGTTGGACAGGCTCCTAAAGTCAGTACCTGACCAGCCGGGCTGTGGTTCGTACGTAGGTTTGCGTGCGACCAGCAGTAACAGCCTGGTTGATCAGGCGCTGATCCACCACGAATACTGGTCATGGGCAGGGCTGTGGGAGATCTGACTCCCAAAACACCCTCCAGGTACCCAAAAACCAGTGCAAAATTGTATCTAAATAAATCAAGACGTGGTCTTAGGTAGACTCAAACCTATCTGATATTATCCTGATGCCAAATGACTTCGAAAAGGCGATAACTGACACGCCCATGCACTCTGCTCCAGGCCCAAGAAGTCCCTATCATGTGCAAGAAGTCCCTATCATGTGCTTTTAACATCCTACGGAGAGGGAGCATGGACACAGGGATCGTCCCACAGCTTCTAGAAACAACAATCATAGCCACACTCCACAAAAGGGGCAGTAAAGCAATAGCAAAGAAATACAGACCAATAGCGCTAACAACATCTCGTATCATAAAAATATTTGAAAGGGTTCTAAGAAGCAAGATCGCTACCCATCTAGATACCCATTAGTTACACAACCCGGAGCAACATGGGTTTAGAGCAGGTTGCACCTTCCTGTCCCAACTACTAGACCACTATGACAGGGTCCTGGATGCTCTAGAAGACAAACAAAACGCAGATGTAGTATACACAGACTTTGCAAAAGCCTTTGACAAATGTGACCATGGTGTAATAGCGCACAAAATGCGTGATAAAGGAATAACAGAAAAAGTTGGTAGATGGATCTAAAATTTCCTAACAAATAGAACACAGAGTAGTACTAAACAGAGTAAAGTCTGAGGCGGCTGCAGTGAAAAGCTCTGTTCCACAAGGCACGGTACTCGCTCCCATCCTGTTCCTCATCCTCATATCGGACATATTATTATTATAATCAAGGGGAAGCGCTAAACCCGGAGGATTATATAGCGCCTGGGGGGGGGATGTGGAAGGCATTCAGGCTTAATTCGGGGAACTGGAGTACAGATCCAATTCCCTAAATCAAGAGCCCCTCACCAACATCAAGGAACCTTCCTTGAGGAGATATCGGACATAGACAGATGTAAGCCACAGCACCGTGTCTTCCTTTGCAGATGACACCCGAATTTACATGACAGTGTCCTCCATTGAAGACACTGCAAGGCTCCAGGCGGACATCAACCAAATCTTTAAATGGGCTGCAGAAAACAATATGAAGTTCAGTGATGAGAAATTTCAATTACTCCGATATGGAAAACGTGAGGAAATTAAAACTATATTGGAGTATAAAACAAATTCCAACCACACAATAGAACGAAAAACTAATGTCAAAGACCTGGGATTGATAATGTCAGAGGATCTCACCTTCAAGGATCACAACACTGTATCAATCGCATCTGCTAGAAAAATGAGAGGATGGATAATGAGAACCTTTAAAAACCAGGGATGCCAACCCATGATGACACTCTTCAGGTCGCTTGTTCTATCTAGGTTGGAATATTGCTGCACACTAACAGCACCTTTCAAGGCAGGTGAAATTGCTGACCTAAAAAATGTTCAGAGAACCTTTATGGTACATATAACTGTGATAAAACACCTCAATTACTTGATTATATACACCTGGAAAATCCTAGAGGGATTGGTACCAAACTTGCACACGAAAATCACTCCTTATGAAAGCAAAAGACTCGGCAGATGATGCAACATTTCCCCAATGAAAAGTAAGGGTACCACTAGCATGATAAGAGACAACACAGTAAGTGTCAGGGGCCCAAGACTGTTCAGCTGCCTCCTAGCATATATAAAGGGGATTACCAATAGACCCCTGACTGTCTTCGAGAAGGCGCTGGACAGGCACGGACATAAAGTCCGTAACTGACCAGCCGGGCTGTGGTTCGAACGTCGGGTTGCAATGAAGCCAATAGTAACAACCTGATTGATCAGGCGCTGATCCACCATGAGGCCTGGTCACAACCCGGGCCGCGGGGGCGATGACCCCCAAAACCCTCTCCAGGTATGAAAAAAGACTTGTTAATGAGAGATTTAGACTTTTACACTAGAAAATAACTAAAGATAAATATATGATTTCATAACACACACGTGTATACACAATCACATACACATATAACACTCAAAATCATTAATTTTAATATCGATGAGTCGTTGGTTCCAAAAATCCTCAAATAATAATTAAAAAAATACCCGTTGAAGATATTCTTTAAATGAACATTGTTGTGAAAACTCTGATAATCAAGTTTATATGAATTTTCCCTTATTACAAGAAAGGAAAAACAAGAAAGAACCAAGGAACAAGTTATGAAGGAGCGGATGACAACACCAGCTGGGAGACACCACAGTCATGCCGTCTGCTGACGAGTACGTTATTTTAACATTTATTTGGAGTCTGTAGTGCATGGAATGTTAATTGTAGATTATTTGGAGGGGGGAGTTGATCTGTTTTTCCACCTGTGAGGCTTAATTATGTACATGAAAACGATGTTTTGCCCGAAGTTCATTTACATGCGAGTGGCTTGAGTGCCTGGCAGTGTTTTATTATATGTAAAAATCCGCCCCTGAAGGGACGTTCCTTGATGCTGGTGAAGGGCTCTTGATCTAGGGAATTTGATTTGCGCTTCGTTTCCCTGTATTGAGCCTGAATGCCTTCCATCCCCCCCCACAAGTGCTGTATAAACCCTACGGGTCCAGCGCTCCCCATACCTGGAGTTTACCTGGAGAGAGTTCCGGGGGTCAACGCCCCCGCGGCCCGGTCTGTGACCAGGCCTCCTGGTGGATCAGAGCCTGATCAACCAGGCTGTTGCTGCTGGCTGCACGCAAACCAACGTACGAGCCACAGCCCGGCTGATCAGGAACTGACTTTAGGTGCTTGTCCAGTGCCAGCTTGAAGACTGCCAGGGGTCTGTTGGTAATCCCCCTTATGTATGCTGGGAGGCAGTTGAACAGTCTCGGGCCCCTGACACTTACTGTATGGTCTCTTAACGTGCTAGTGACACCCCTGCTTTTCATTGGGGGGATGTTGCATCGTCTGCCAAGTCTTTTGCTTTCGTAGTGAGTGATTTTCGTGTGCAAGTTCGGTAAGATAAGATAAGATAAGATTTCGTTTGGATTTTTAACCCCGGAGGGTTAGCCACCCAGGATAACCCAAGAAAGTCAGTGCGTCATCGAGGACTGTCAAACTTATTTCCATTGGGGTCCTTAATCTTGTCCCCCAGGATGCGACCCACACCAGTCGACTAACACCCAGGTACCTATTTGCTGCTAGGTGAACAGGACAACAGGTGTAAGGAAACGTGTCGATGTTTCCACCCGCCGGGAATCGAACCCGGGCCCTCCGTGTGTGAAGCGGGAGCTTTAGCCACCAGGCCACCGGGCCACCCTCTAGGATTTTCCAGGTGTATATAATCATGTATCTCTCCCTCCTGCATTCCAGGGAGTACAGGTTCAGGAACCTCAAGCGCTCCCAGTAATTGAGGTGTTTTATCTCCGTTATGCGCGCCGTGAAGGTTCTCTGTACATTTTTTAGGTCAGCAATTTCACCTGCCTTGAAAGGTGCTGTTAGTGTGCAGCAATATTCCAGCCTAGATAGAACAAGTACACATAAATAACATTATCCTTGTACAGCCTAACAGTGCTGTATGACCCTTGTGGGTTTAACACTCATTCAATGTAATAATTGTACAGCCTAAAAATAAAATCTGAATTTTTTTCCCTCCTGGGGATGCTACTGAGGGGCTTTTGATCCAAGGTGCTGGCAGGATATACACACAGAAATATACAGTGTGTGTATTTATCTCAGCATTTGTACACTGGTAGTATAATTTAATTATTGTTGTAGAATTAAAATAATAATCTCGGGTGGTGAAAGTTACTTGCTGCCCTAAACCATGGTGTAGTAGATAGGCTTTAAACCCCATAAACCAGGTGCTGGTTAATGGGTCCAATTACCATTATCAATATTTTCATTATCCTTGTATTAATATGGGAAACACAAACCCATATGGATTATACAGTACCTGGTTAATGGGGTTTAAAAATGTACTGTAGTACAATTTATTATTATTAGTGATGAATTTAGTGATAAATTTAGTGATAAATAATCATTTAGTGATGATAAATAATAAATTGTACTACAGTATTTTTTTTTTTTTTTTTTGCATTTAGGGTGCCTTTGGGCATTGACATTGTTCTTATGGAGTTACAGTGTTGCTCTCGTAAGTAATGTCTTTAGTACATCTATCTTTCGACATTTTTTTCTAAATGTAATAATTTTTCTTCCACAGAGTTGTGAAGTCCAGCTGGGCTGATGAAGTCGAAGAGGTAGAAGGTTAGTTATTTTTCTTTGCCAGCCCTGAAAGTACAATTTAATTTGTATTATTAGCCTTGAGAGTCGGAACCCAATAAAGTCAGTGTGGCTTTATTGGAGTGTTTTCGTGGTCCCCCCCAGGGTGCGACCCACAACAGTCGGCTACTAGGTGAACAAGGGCAGCAGGTGTAAGGAAATATCCCCAACATCATCTGCCCCAAGATTGGAGCCGGGTCCCTCACTTGTGAGCTGGGTTCCTCCTTAAAAAGTGTCAGTTGCTGCTAGTTATTTTTTTTTTTTAGTAGCCATGGCTGGTTCAGGGTATCAGCCATGGCTGGTTCAAGGTGTTTATTTTGTTATTAGTACAGTACTTGAATATTCAAAAAAATTAATTCTCCCAACTCATATTAGCCTCAAGCCTAAAATAGTTCATCTGCCATGTTCTAGGTCCTATTAGATCCTATGATTTCAGTTTATTGAGTTATTGATGAAAATAAAATGCAACTGTAGTTCCATATTATACATCTGTAGTTCTGTATTATACCGAATTACAGAAAATATCTTCCTGGATGATGACTAACAAACTCACTCTCAACATTGACAAAACCTACTTCATTCAGTTTGGTAACAGAGCTACAGATGTCCCTCTTAACTTAATGATAAATGGATCACCTATCACAAAGCTCACAGAGGGAAAATTCTTAGGAATCCACCTTGATAATAGACTCAGATTTCAAACACATGTACAACAAATTTCCAAGAAAATTTCCAAGACCGTAGGCATACTATCAAAGGTACGGTACTATGTTCCACAGTCAGCCCTCCTGGCCCTATATCACTCACTTATTTACCCCTATCTCACCTATGGAATTTGTGCATGGGGCTCAATAACAATAAACCATCTCAGACCATTAATTACTCAACAAAAGGCTGCAGTCAGAATAATGATAAATTCCCACTACAGGCAGCACACTCCACCAATATTCAAAACTCTAAACCTACTCACCGTACAAAACATCCATACTTATTATTGTACCTTCTACATACATAGAACACTTAACTCGGATATAAACCCTCCCCTCAAACATCTCCTTACCAACCTCGACAGAACACATGATCATAACACAAGGCACAGATCACTCTTTGATGTTCCTCGTGTCCATCTCACACTATGTAAAAACTCTATGCACATAAAAGGCCCAAAAATCTGGAATTCATTACCTGTGAATATAAAAGAAACACTGTTTACAAATTCAAGTCTCTTCTTAAAAATCACTTACTCACCCACAACTAAATAAATACTGAATAACTGTGACCCTATCAAACTTTGTACATTCAACAGAATACACCATTCTATTGAATGCACAGCAACTCAGCAAATGACCATATGACCTGACTTTGAAATACTCATTTGTGCTTAGTTGTTATTTGTTTACTATAATTTTTACCACTGAATATATCATTGCTTAGTTAATCTTAAGTTAATTTTAAGCCTGCCCATAATGCTCTGCATACAAGGGTTTTTTGGCATGTTACACTTAACTAGAGAACCTTCACGGCGCACATAATGGAGATAAAACACCTCAATTACTGGGAGCGCTTGAAGTTCCTGAACCTGTATTCCCTGGAACGCAGGCGGGAGAGATGCATGATTATATACACCTGGAAAATCCTAGAGGGACTAGTACCGAACTTGCACACGAAAATCACTCACAATGAAAGCAAAAGACTTGGCAGACAATGCAACATCCCCCCAATGAAAAGCAGGGGTGTCACTAGCATGTTAAAAGAATACAGTAAGTGTCAGGGGCCCGAGACTGTTCAACTGCCTCCCAGCATACATAAGGGGGGATTACCAATAGACCCCTGGCAGTCTTCAAGCTGGCACTGGACAAGCACCTTAAGTCGGTACCTGACCAGCCGGGCTGTGGCTCGTACGTTGGATTGCGTGCAGCCAGCAGTAACAGCCTGGTTGATCAGCATCTGATCCACCAGGAGGCCTGGTCACAGACCGGGCCGCGGGGGTGTTGACCCCCGGAACTCTCTCCAGGTAAACTCCAGATCTATGTATCATGTCCAAATTAATAATAAATAAAGTTGCAGTTCCAAATTATACAACTGTAGTTTCATACAACTATAGTTCTAAATTATACAACTGATTTTTTCTGTGAATCCTGGAATTCCTAGAATTTACTATTCTGTATAAGTTTTGAAGATTTTGATATTTCATTATTTTGAGTATAGTACAGTGGACCCCCGACTAACGATATTATTTCAATCCAGAAGTCTGTTCAGGTGTTGTTATAGACCGAATTTGTTCCCATAAGGAATATTGTGAATTAGATAAGTCTGTTTCACACCTCCAAAAATACACCTACAAAAGCACTTAAAAAAATACAGTGGACCCCCGCATAACGATCACCTCCGAATGCGACCAATTATGTAAGTGTATTTATGTAAGTGCATTTGTACGTGTATGTTTGGGGGTCTGAAATGGACTAATCTACTTCACAATATTCCTTATGGGAACAAATTCGGTCAGTACTGGCACCTGAACATACTTCTGGATTGAAAAAATATCGTTAACCGGGGGTCCACTGTACACTTACATAATTGGTCGAGTTGGGAGCTGATCGTTAGTTGGGGGTCCACTGTATTTGGATATGTATATTGTGCAACTAAAATATCACGTAATACTGTATTCCTTTTTAATAAATGTGAAAAACAGCCTTTATTATACATGTACAAATCTACAATAAGCTTCAGAGAAGAAAAAAATTGCTCTTATGATTTTACACTAGGCCCAAAATTTCCATCTCATAGTTTGAATGTGTTATTTTTCCAGGAGGGAACCTTCCACCTCCAGTTGAGAAAAATGATGGAAACACAAAGACTATCACAGAGTATTCTTTAAACGAGGATGGAAAGAAAGTAAAGGTAAGGTGTGAGCTTTAGAAAGCAATACTGAAGTTACCTAACAGGTGAGCCAACATCCGTGATTTCACAGAAGTTCTCAGATAACCCCTCAGACAGGAGACATCTCATAACAGTATTTTCTTATGGCCAAAACATTCTCCAGTTTAAATTCAATAAAATTATCAGCAAGTGCTAATCCAGGTAGGATAACATAATATAATCTAAACTAAAAATACTAAAGTAGGCTTTTGGATAGCTCATGGTTATATTACACAGTAGTGACTGCCACCCAGATAACTTACTGATGACCGTGGCTTGGAAGTACAGAACCTGTATGAATGTGTATGGTCTACACGTTTAATATTGTTGTTTCCCTTTGGGAAATAGCATGATGTATGATTTAACTTCATTTTCATGAGGTTTATGTAAAACTTTCTAACTTCAAGAGTGCCTTTTGTGGATTTGTTTTTCTCCCTGTGTTGTAACTTTTTTTTTATGGCTTTGTATATGGTTATCAGGTCTCTTCATCCTATCAAAGTGAGGGTATCTTCAGTGTTTTCATACTTTTTTTGTAACCTATTTTGATGTCTACCGGTATTTTTTATATGGACATCACAGCAATGTATATTACAATTTTGGCCTAACATAAATTATAAACAGCATTTTTTAGGATTTCACCATTCATGTATCTGAAGGCTAAAACCTGGGTGATTATTGGTATTCTTTCTATCCCAGTTTTGACATTTTTTTTCTTTAGTGTGTCAAAAGCTTTAAGTGCTAATTCTCCTACAAAATACCCTATGCTATATATTATCTTCTATAAAAATACCACTTTGAAAATAGGAAAAACACATGAGCACTTTCATGTGCTTACACATCTGAAGATGTGTACATAACCATGTGAAAGCACTTACGTGTTTCTCCTATTTTTACTGTGATATTTTTATGTATTTGCAATCAGGCATTTACTGTGATTTCCATATTATCTTTTGTATAAAATTTTATACCAAGTTTTTCTCTTACAAATTGTGGATTCCACATTAAAAATATTAGAAAAACATCTTAAGTATGCACAACACTTGTTGCTAATACTATGTGCTGAAATTAAAAATAAATAGATTCAAATAATGTGCCTTATTATCACTGTTAATACTATTGTTGCGTAATCATTGATTTTTTTGCAGATTACAAGTCACTACCGGATTGAGAAGCATCGGGTGGCCAGGACTATTGCTAAAAGGAAGACTTGGGCCAAGTATGGCCTTAGTAAAAATGACAAACCTGGCCCAAATCCAGCCACAACCATCACTGCTGAGGATGTCTTTATGCACGTATGTTTTAGATTTATTATTTTGTGTAAATTAAATTTTTATTTTTAACTACAGTGACCATCCCCCACTAAGATATTTCCAAAAGTGACCTGAATTTTTACATCCTCACCCTGCCTTCAGAATGCATGCAATGTACTTCATATCTCCGGGATTCGGATCCAGCTAACTGGTTTACCTGGAGAGGGTTTCGGGGGTCAACACCCCCGTGGCTCGGTCTGAGACCAGGCCTCATGGTGGATCAGAGTCTGATCAACCAGGTTGTTACTGTTGGCCGCACTCAAGCTGATGTATGAACCACAGCCCGGGTGGTCAGGTACTGACTTTAGGTGCCTATCCAGTGTAATCCCCCCTTATGTATGCTGGGAGGCAGTTGAAAAGTCTTGGGCCCCGGACATTTATTGTGTTGTCTCTCAGTGTACTTGTGGCACCCCTGCTTTTCATCGGGGGAATGTTGGATCCCCTGCCGAGTCTTTTGCTTTCATAGGAAGTGATTTTCGTGTGCAGGTTTGGTGCCACTCCTCCAGGACCTTCCAAGTGTATTATTATGTATCTCTCTTGCCTGCATTCCAGGGAATACTGATCAAGGACCTTCAACCATTCCTAGTAATTTAGGTGCCTTATCATACTTATGTGTGCCGTGAAAGTTCTTTGTACATTCTCCAGGTCTGCAGTGTCGCCAGCCTTGAAGAGGGCCATTAGGGTACAGCAGTATTTCCCTGAAACAGTTCATAAATGTTAACCTTGCTCACACTCCAAGAACATAGTAATTTCATGACTCGCTCTTCTTCACTCGCCTCACTCTAATACGCTCACACAAGCCTGCTGGATGCTCACGCCCCTACCACTTGACATCTCATTACCTTCTCTAGCCTTTCCTGGAATGACCCCTTCACCTCCCTCCCTTCCACTCCAAATTTACACACCCTCTTGGTCATTCTATTCTGCTCAGTCATCTCAAAATGTCCAAACCACCTTAACACCTAGCTTTGTCTTTTGAATAATATCTTTTGTAACCCTTCTTACTGTCTTCTAAATCCTGCACTTAAAATTCTTTATATAATATTCACACCACACATTGCTCTCACACAGCATATCCACTGCCTTCAATCTCCTGCTTACTGCAACATTTAAATACCATGCCTCATACCTATATAAAAGAATTTGTATCACTATACTCAGGTACATTCTGGAACATTCATATTTTTTTTATCTATAAAGATACTCTATCCACTGATGCCTTAGTACTCCACTTACCTTTTTTCACTTTATCTGTTCTCTGATTCAACTCTCCTTTCATAGACCTACCTGCCAACATATTGACTCCTAAAAATTAAAGTACATTTCCTTCCTCCATATTTCCTTCTTTCATTCTAATATCCATTTTTCATTGTCAAAACTTCTTGTTACTCACCTTGCTGTAATCTTTTAACCCTTAAACGGTCCAAACGTATATATACGTTCACCTGCGCAGCACCCCGAATATTTTGAGAAAAAAAGCAATCGTTTTCTTTTTTTTTTTATAGGAAAAAAGAGCATGTGGTACCCAGGCATCCCCAATTTTTTTCATATGGCACACACTGAATGCGCACACTCATTCTCTCATGTCTAGGAGACTCAGGCCTATTGTGCCAATGTTGAATAAATGACAAATGAAACGTGTATATATACGTTTGGGGCGCTTCGCAAGAGAATGTATATATATGTTTGGACCGTTTAAGGGTTAAGTACAGTGGAACCTCTACTTACAAGTTTAATCCGTTCCATGACCTTGCTTGCATCTGGATTTGCTCGTTTACAGAGTCAGTTTTTCTCATTTAAATTAAGTGAATTGCAATTAATCCATTCCTAGCTCTCAGGAGGTATGACAAGTTACTTCAGTGTTTCGCTGATATCTATACGGCTTATTTATCTATCACAATTCATCTAATATGACATAATAAACAATATAAATAACATAGAAACCTGATATATTCTCTAGAATAAACAAAATATGTCATGTGACAGGTGGAGGCGGCCACAACCGCTCCCACATTGTTGTGGTAATCACTGCCATCTAGTGACGGCCTTTTGAAGACGTCTATTATTATAATTATTATTATATAGTACGTTTTTATTATGTATTGTTATTCTTTCTTTCAACAAACCAGCCATATCCCACATAGGCGGGGTGGCCCAAAAAGAAAAACGAAAGTTTCTCCTTTTACATTTAGTAATATATACAAGAGAAGGGGTTACTAGCCCCTTGCTCCCGGCATTTTAGTTGCCTCTTACAACACGCATGGCTTACGGAGGAAGAATTCTGTTCCACTTCCCCATGGAGGTAAGAGAAAATGAACAAGAACAAGAACTAGAAAGAAAATAGAAGAAAACCCAGAGGGGTGTGTGTGTATATATATGCTTGTACATGTATGTGTAGTGTGACCTAAGTGTAAGTAGGAGTAGCAAGACGTACCTGAAATCTTGCACGTGTATGAGACAGAAAAAAAAGACACCAGCAATCCTACCATTGTGTAAAACAATTACAGGCTTCCGTTTTACACTCACTTGGCAGGACAGTAGTACCACCCTGGGCGGTTGCTGTCTACCAACCTACTACCTAGGATATATTATTATTTTTTTTTTTTTTTTTTTTTTTTTTCAACAAGTCGGTCGTCTCCCACCGAGGCAGGGTGACCCAAAAAAAAGAAAGAAAATCCCCAAAAAGAAAATACTTTCATCATCATTCAACACTTTCACCACACTCACACATTATCACTGCTTTTGCAGAGGTGCTCAGAATATAACAGTTTAGAAGCATATACGTGTAGAGATACACAACATATCCCTCCTAACTGCCAATATCCCAAACCCCTCCTTTAAAGTGCAGGCATTGTACTTCCCATTTCCAGGACTCAAGTCCGACTATATGAAAATAACCGGTTTCCCTGAATCCCTTCACTAAATATTACCCTGCTCACACTCCAACAGATCGTCAGGTCCCAAGTATCATTCGTCTCCATTCACTCCTATCTAACACGCTCATGCACACTTGCTGGAAGTCCAAGCCCCTCACCCACAAAACCTCCTTTACCCCCTCTTTCCAACCCTTTCGAGGACGACCCCTACCCTCTTTCCTTCCCCTAGAGATTTATATGCTTTCCATGTCATTCTACTTTGATCCATTCTCTCTAAATGACCAAACCACCTCAACAACCCCTCTTCTGCCCTCTGACTAATGCTTTTATTAACTCCACACCTTCTCCTAATTTCCACACTCCGAATTTTCTGCATAATATTTACACCACACATTGCCCTTAGACAGGACATCTCCACTGCCTCCAACCGTCTCCTCGCTGCTGCATTTACCACCCAAGCTTCACATCCATATAAGAGTGTTGGTACTACTATACTTTCATACATTCCCTTCTTTGCCTCCATAGATAACGTTTTTTGACTCCACATATACCTCAACGCACCACTCACCTTTTTTCCCTCATCAATTCTATGATTAACCTCATCCTTCATAAATCCATCCGCCGACACGTCAACTCCCAAGTATCTGAAAACATTCACTTCTTCCATGCTCCTCCTCCCCAATTTTATATCCAATTTTTCTTTATCTAAATCATTTGATACCCTCATCACCTTACTCTTTTCTATGTTCACTTTCAACTTTCTACCTTTACACACATTCTCAAACTCATCCACTAACCTTTGCAATTTTTCTTTAGAATCTCCCATAAGCACAAATATCATCAGCAAAAAGTAACTGTGTCAATTCCCATTTTGAATTTGATTCCCCATAATTTAATCCCACCCCTCTCCCGAACACCCTAGCATTTACTTCTTTTACAACCCCATCTATAAATATATTAAACAACCATGGTGACATTACACATCCCTGTCTAAGACCTACTTTTACCGGGAAGTATTCTCCCTCTCTTCTACACACCCTAACCTGAGCCTCACTATCCTCATAAAAGCTCTTTACAGCATTTAGTAACTTACCACCTATTCCATATACTTGCAACATCTGCCACATTGCTCCTCTATCCACTCTATCATATGCCTTTTCTAAATCCATAAATGCAATAAAAACTTCCCTACCTTTATCTAAATACTGTTCACATATATGCTTCAATGTAAACACTTGATCTACACATCCCCTACCCACTCTGAAACCTCCTTGTTCGTCCGCAATTCTACATTCTGTCTTACTTCTAATTCTTTCAATTATAACCCTACCGTATACTTTTCCTGGTATACTCAGTAAACTTATTATTATTATTATTATTATTATTATTAATTATACTATTATTATTATATGTATTATTATTATTACAGTATAAACAATTTATAATTTTTATTCACACAAAAAATAGAAGATTAACTGTTATGCAGACTACTGCATTATTGTGATAATTGTATAAATAATGTCAACCCATTCATGACTTCATATTGGAATGGACAGTGACTTTTTTTTTTTTTTTTTTTTTTTTTTTTTTTTTTTTACACAGGGTTTGGCAAGGTTAAGGATCCCTAGCTTTATTGACAGGCTATTTACAGGTTAAGGATTCCTAACTTCATTGGCAAGCTAAGAGCTGTTGCCTACATCAGCTCATTTGAAAGCATTTTTATTGTTATGAGACATGCAATTAGGGAACAGGATGAAGTTGAAGCCATCTGTGGGCCAGCATTTTCATTTGATCAGCTGACTTTATCTCGTTGACATCATTATGCTGTACGAATGTGTTCCATACTTGAGTCATCCTGGGTATATATGATCTCAGATGGAGTGATGTTCTGGAGAAGAGTGAAGTTGCTGCTCTCTGCCCGTTTTGTGGCATAAAAGCTTGTTTCACTCTGTCCTCGAAGTGGATCCAAGTGTGGTACTTAGACAATATTGGCCTTGTACATAACAGTAAGGCCACCCACATCCCTCCTGTGTTGAAGGCTATGCTGAAATGACAGATCTATCCAGGATGGGTCCAGGCGAGAGATGAGACGTCTTGCTCTGTTCTCTACTATGTCAAGCAGTCGCAGATGAGAGGGGGAGCAGGCAAACCAAGAAAGTGGAGCATACTCAAGGTGTGAGCGTACTTGTGCCTCGTACAGAATCTTGCAACCCCTACCGTCAAGCAGATGCGAGATACGGCGAAGTGCTCTAAGCTTCCTGGCTGCCTTGTTTGCAAGATTTACAACATGGTTCTTCATGGTTAGTTTGGAGTAAAATTTCACCCCAAGGTATCAACTTCTTCTCCAGGTGCCAACACCCTCCCATTCATCCTTACTACTGCACCAGCATTACCATCATGGTGCCTAGAGACGATCATCATTTGCATTTTCTCAGGTGCAAATGTTACTTGCCATCTATTTCCCCAAGCTGATATAGCTCTTAGCTGGTGATTGATGTAGCTTAGAGCAGCTGGCATTTCTTCTCTTGGATAAGTGAATGTCAGTGTACAGTCATCTGCATATGAATGTGATTCTGGGATGAGATGAAGAAGGTCGTTGAGGTAGACATTCCATAACAATGGTCCCAGCACGCTTCCTTGTGGAACGCTTGCCCCAATAGGATGTCTTGCTGATTCCGTTCCATTGAGAACTGCACTTAGAGATCTACCATGAAGGTAATCACTGAGGAGACATAGCGTAGAGCCTGCAATTCCCAGTGCTTTAAGTTTTGCTAAGAGGCCCTGGTGCCACACCCGGTTGAGAGCGCCAGCAATGTCCAGCGCTACCATTGCCAAAGAATCTTACATTTCTGCTACCTTGAACTCAATTTCAAGGTACTTTTCATCGTGAAACCATTCAAAATCATATCTATTCCTGTAATATATCTTGCATTCTATCAAATGAGACCAAATAAACGAGATTACAACCAAAAAACCATATGAAGTGAACTCCATTATTTATGGTCTGATTTCTTTCAGTTTTGGTGTATGTCAAGAAGCATCTTCCTATCATACATTGCCTAAGTTTCAATAAGCTAGTCCAACAAACAAATGAGATCCAGTTCTCTAGATCAAGAGCAAGAACCCCTCACCAGCATCAAGGAACCTCCCTTGAGGCCCGCCCACCTATGGAAATTTCACTCGCACATGGAAGCAAAAATTCGACCGAGCGACTGCTTGTTTTTGAAAAAACTCACACGTGCATGCACTCGCAAGTGGAGATTCTGCTGTGTTCACTTTTAATTCCTTACTTTTACACAAATAATAAGTCAGTCAATTCATATTAATTGCTAAAACCATGTAGGTCATTTAGCATAAGACATTGTGTAGGCTTGTTCCTCCATCTGTTGAGTGCTAGACAGATGTGCTTCCTATTTCAAATCTAGGTGTGTGTTTAAAGTTTTTTTCTTTTTTTCAACAAGTCGGCTGTCTCCCTCCGAGGCAGGGTGACCCAAAAAGAAAGAAAATCCCCAAAAAGAAAATACCTTCATCATCATTCAACACTTTCACCTCACTCACACATAATCACTGTTTTTGCAGAGGTGCTCAGAACACAACAGTTTAGAAGCATATATGTATAAAGATACACAACATATCCCTCCAAACTGCTAATATCCCAAAACCCCTCCTTTAGAGTGCAGGCATTGTACTTCCCATTTCCAGCTTGTGCTATCTTTCGTATATAGTGTATTGTTAATGCTTTATTATTGTATCTTGCCAGATATCACATTCTTTCTTTGAATTGGTAACTTATGACCCTTGATGACCATGTTCAAATTCTACTGGCTGTTGGAAATTAAGTACTACTGGTAGTAAATCTAATTTTTTGAACGAGATAACAGCAGACTGATGAGAGGAGCCATGTTTATTTTTTGCCAGTATTCATCACTTTAATGTACTCTAGTGGCCATTCAAAAACTGGTAAATACACTATGCTCGATTATGATTAGCTGTGGGCATCCTTGTCGAAAACAATTTTCAATCACATTGGTTGAGTCGAGTATATTTTTACCATTGATGTGTAGCTTTTGATATTGAATCATTTAATCCGTGCACACATTTGATGCAACTAGTATAAATTACCCTTTTTAGTACATCATTTCCTTGCTATAAAATATAAACTTGCATATACTATCCAAAAAATGTATGGTTTTTTTTTCAGTTCTTAAGCAATAAAGAAGAAGAACAGAATGAACAAGAAGAGTTGAAGAAGAAGCTGATGGATGCTCAGAAGGGACAAGTAAAATGTCGTTTGTGTAAGGAAGACCATTGGACCAAGCAGTGTCCCTACAAGGATAAATTGGAGCCTCTCCGTTCATCACTCCTGGTTAGTTGTATATTTGCAGCTAGTATGTTATCTGTAATAGCTATGATATCTTGGTGTATCATTGTAGGGTTAAGGAAATCATTCAAGGTGGTAGTAGATAGTTCCTTGATGCTCATGACTTTTTATCCAAGGACTTGAAGTTATCCTCTCCTTCATAGGATCAAACATGATTTTCTCCTATTCCCAAGGCACTGTTTGACAGTTATGGATTTAGCACTTCCCCATGAATAATAAAAATAAAGGATTTATTAATAAAGCTTTTAGAATATATTTTACTATAGGTAGTATCTTTTAGAGTATGAAGATTCAAAAAATGCCAATTTAATTTTAGATGAACATGACTCACGAAATAGTAATGACCCGATTGCAAACAAACCATACCATGGGTGAGGATTGAACTCGTGGCAAGTGAGTTGTAACACTCCAGTGGCTTATGCACTGGCCTGGAGTTTTATGATTCACTCACCATGAGTTCAATCCCTACCTGTGGTATGGTTTAGCTAAACATCTTTAAGTATATTACAAAATAAGCTCTAATAAAAAAATAACAGGAGATAAGAAGGGTAATGTATATTTCTACCTACTACTACCTGGAATTGATTTTGTTGGTCACTACCCTAGTGGGCTGGTTCCAGACTAGGCCATCTTCAGTAGACTCGTTAGGCTGAAATATACAGCATTTTCCATTTCTCTTTTCTCCATGTGTGATTGTTGGTGCCAAGGGCCATTGTTTATTGCACTTTAATGATTAATATGTATTTTTGTATTAAACCTTTTAGTGGGAGAATCAGATGGAAATAATTATTTTACTTATTTTACACAGGGAGATGAGAAAGTTGAGGAGGAGCCTCCACAGCCAGGTAGTGGACCTCCAGTAGACAAAGCCAAGATGAGTGGTGCGGGAACGCAGGGAAAGTATGTCCCACCATCCATGAGGGATGGAGGCTCCAAGAAGGGCGAGAGTATGATGTCAGCGAGAGGGAGAGGTATGTCTTTCTCCTGTCTTCATTCTTTGCCTTGATTTTTGGGATTTTCATTGGGTAACTTACTGGAAGTGGTCATTTTAAATTATCTTATGATTCATTCACCTGTGTGTATTTAGAACTCTGAAGGTGCAACTTTAATATTTCCTATAAAAGTTGTACATACTGCTTTAACTTTACAATAGCTGCTAAGTGAGTACATTGAAAAAAGAAATGTGTGGTAAAACTGTTAGCTAATGTATACAGGTAGAAAAGTAAATGAAGTAAGGGAAGAGAAAATGGCACACTTGAAATAATTTAGTGCAGCATTATGTAATAGATTCACAGATTTCACAAGCTGGTAGTGTAAAACAGAAAATGTGTAGTGATGTAAATTTTTTCAGTCATTGTATGCCTTATTAGATCATTTTTGTGTTTAGGTAGGTAGAACGATTAACTGTACCTGATCTATAGCATGTGTTTGAGATGCTTTTAATAAAAAAATGTGCATTGGGCCATAAGAATTTGTTGTCGTTTTCATAGATAAGTGTCCAGTGGCTAGTACAGTAGGTTAATTTAAGGAAAACATTAAAAGAATCTAAATCTTCTCAAAATACAGTTCTGTATTCCAAGTTATCATATAAAGAAGGACAATACTCATATTTTATGTATAACTAGATTTCCCTTGCTTTATGCAAATTTGCTTTTATGCAGTCACCCCATATTTACCAGTAATTCGATATTTGTGATATGATTTTCCTCTTATCCAATCATCCAAGCACAGTGTCACTTGATGTTTTAACCTGATCTCAAAACTAGTTTAGAGATCAGGTTAAAACTAGTTTATACTGATATTTATAAAAAAAAGAACTAAGAAAAAACATTTGAGGTTAGTAAATCCAATGAACATAGTTTGATTGGATTGCCATTTGTTGACTATTTGGTATGTTCATAATTTTTTGATGAAAAAAAAAGTAATGTGTAATTTTTCCCAATACAGTGGACCCCCGATTAACGATATTTTTTCATTCCAGAAGTATGTTCAGGTGCCAGTACTGACCGAATTTGTTCCCATAAGGAATATTGTGAAGTAGATTAGTCCATTTCAGACCCCCAAACATACACATACAAACGCACTTATATAAATACACTTACATAATTGGTCACATTAGGAGGTGATTGTTAAGCGGGGGTCCACTGTATAAGCATTTTGATTGATTTTTTTATTTTTTCTCGAGTGGTTTTCGACCAGATTAACTTATTTTTGTATATAACTGTGTAATGCATATGTGGTAAGTTCCTATTTTTTTTGGTAAACATGAGTAAATATACATAGAATATTCTCCATGGGGAAGTGGAAAAGAATTATTCTTCCATAAGCCATGCGTTTTGTAAGAGGCGACTAAAATGCCAGGAGCATGGGGCTAGTAACCCCTTCTTGTATAAATTACTAAATTTGAAAAGGAAAATTTTCATTTTCTTTTTAGGTCACCCTTTCTCAGTGGGATACAGCCATTTGTTGAAAAAAAATGTAGAATATGCAGTGTCAGAATGAATGTATGTGCCATGGTCTAGGAATGCATCTTGTCACATAAAGCAAAGGACATTACTTGGAGAGTTTCCTCTAGTTTTTCACTTTATTTTCAGATGAAACTGCAACTGTGCGTGTTACTAATCTGTCTGAGAACACCCGGGAGCAGGATCTGCAGGACCTCTTCCGCCCCTTTGGAGACATCAGTCGTATTTTCCTTGCCAAAGACAAGAATACTGGACAATCAAAGGGCTTTGCATTTATTAACTTCAAGGTATTGATTTATTTGCTTAATGTGTTTATTTCATTTGATATACAGTAACTTTAATTTTTGCTAATTATAAATTCATTGGTAGTGAATCATGCTAGTATTTTTTCCAAAGCATATCCAGACCAACTGCTTGTTCTATATTTTCTCTTTCTAGAAAAGTACATATTTCCTATTTAACTAAACTTATTGTTGCTATTTATTATTGTCACTACTATAATTTGATCACCAACATGGATTCCAGGAAGTTTATTTTTACTTTTGATCTCTTAGTTTCCAAAACTTAACAGGATATGATATAAATATTGACTGTCCTGACTGCCATTCTTCAGCTTCCTTCAAATTTTTGTCTTTTCAAGCCTCTGATAAATCCAAATGAAAATTATTTATTTGATCATTTTTCCTATTTACCCTTCTGTAGGAAAGATAGATATTGTAACATGACATCTCTAGATTGGAGGAATTAATCTTTGATATTTAGCTTTTAGAGAGGTTTTTCAAGTTATCTCCAGCAGCAGTGGCTGATAATTCCTCCCACTTCTTTTTCAGAGGCATGTTACATTTTGATGTCTTTTTGCCTTTTCCTTATTTTTATTTAAAAATTATCAAATAGGCTTAGTGGTTATTAGTTACTACTAAATGTTTAATGAATGGGTTTTCCTGCTTTTGTTGCCATCAATTAATTTTAGAAAACCTCTCTACTTTGGCTGTTAGTGAGAATTTTGTATGTTTTGAGGTTTTTGTTTTTTAAAGCTAGATTCTATTTTAACCTTTTTTTGTAACTAGAATACCTGTATCTCAAAACCTGTCTTAATGAATTTATTTAAAATGTAATAATAGACAGTTTCTGTACGCAGTTGATGTGCACAGTATAAGTTCTTAAACCTGACCAGTCTGTGAAAGCCTATACTGGTATACCTCATTCATTCTCTTATTACTAGTAAATATTGGTATATTGTTCACAGATGGGTAAGAAAAGGTTGAAGATTAAGTGTTATATTGCCAAGCTAGGAACAGAAGCTTCCACGTGAGAGTATATATCTTGCCTGATCACATTGCCAGTGAATTTGTTGTATAGTGTTATATAATTTGTTCAATTGTTTTCTAACTTGTTTAATAATTTATTATATAATTTTCAGAAAAGGGAAGATGCTGCCAAGGCTATCCAAGTTCTCAATGGTTATGGTTATGATCATCTAATTCTCAGTGTAGAATGGGCAAAGTAAGTACAGTACTCAGTATATTTTTACCTACCATGGAACATCCTTCAGTTATTGTCAGGAAGTAAATTTGTCTTACTGAACATTGCTCATTCATTGTTTTGAAACATTCTGGCTAGTACAACTGCTGTTTGGTATGAGAACTCCTCTCATTCTTGTCATTCTTCCAGATTTTTTTATTATTAATGCATCACTTTGCTCTTACTCCCTTTTTCCATTAATGTCTTCAGCATTTGTATACTCTGCAGTCTTGTATTGGTTCCAAAGAGTTTCATGTGCAATAGGAAATGAGAATAGTAAAGGAGGAAAATAGTCAGGGAGGGTAACTATTCATGAAAGTGGTGAGTGAGCATTTGTCAAGATAAATAGAAAAAAAAATGATAAAAATGGTACTTGTAGATATTTGAGGGTAGATAAGATTGTCCTAGTTTCACAATGTGAGGATAAACTGTTTTAAAATGATAAATAATCTTCATTAAATGGAACTCTGTCAAACATGCTTGGTTATTGGAGAATCATACTACATGTGGGAATACACAAGTGTGTATTTTTGTAAATTACAAATAATTTGCTAATCTCTGTCGGACTTCTTTCTATTGAAAACCTCTTTGGGGGACCAGCTTTAGCTTGATGCAGTCTTCTTTGGGTGTTAATAAACCAAAGCATCTAGAATTTTTTTTTTAGATGTAACATACTAATTATATAACATTTGTCAAGTAGATGTTTCATATTTATATATAGAAGCAAAATGTGTGTGAAGATGGTTTTTGCATTAGTAAGTGAGAAAGTTGAAATGAAGATAAGCTGAAAAAAAAAAAATTGAGGCAATGTAGTTAAAATTGAGGATTGAAAATGCATTATGAATTGAAATAAGTGTCATATGGAAGTAATTGTAGATCACGATTGTGAATGTATCCAAGAAAGCCTCCACTTAGAGCCGAACATTAATACAGTACTCAAAAGAAATTTAGATAAATTCATAATACATTTTTAGGTTTTTACATATAATGTCATTTGACAGCTAGTAAGTATTCATTGCAGTGATGCTGATAGTTAAATTTTACTATCGTTAACTATATTCTTTGTTAATATATTTAAAGATCCTATATGATATATATTACTGAAAAGCCCATTTGCTCATTTTTGTAAAATCAAGCAGTCCTCTCGGATACAGAGTCCATTTTTTTTTCTTGAAAATGTTAATACAGTGGACTCCCGGTTTACGATATTTTTTCATTCCAGAAGTATGTTCAGGTGTCAGTACTGACCGAATTTGTTCCCTTAAGGAATATTGTGAATTAGATTAGTCCATTTCAGACTCCCAAACGTACACATACAAACGCACTTGCATAAATACACTTACATAATTGGTCGCATTGGGAGGTGATCATAAAGCGGGGGTCCACTGTATAAAAGGATTTAGTTTTATTCTTAGGACTTAATTCTAATGTTAATGCTTTTTTTTTCAGACCTTCTGGTACTCAGTAAATTATGCGGCTTAGGGGAAATAAGTTCTCTGCTATGATTTGAAATCTTGGATAAAATAAAGCACATGTTGAAATAAAAGTGTTTTGCTAAACTCTGTTTATTCGGACCTACTTTGTGTATACTATATCAATATTCCCACACTTTTTTTTATTCTTAGGAATAAGTAAAGGTTATGTTGAACCGAGCTGACAGTTATTAAATACATTAAATTAATTTACTTAGTGTAATTCAAAAATTGCAACCAAAAAATTAAATAATGTATTTGTATATGTGTTGTTGCTAGGATCGAGTCCTAGCTCCTGGTATTGCCACTTGCTAGATTCTCTGTAATGGTCTCGTGGGCCCTATTGTACCTGTTCTTAAAACTATTTGAGTCTGCCTCCACCACTTAAAGGTCATTCTTTTTCCTGACCACACTGAGTGAAATGTTTGATGTTACTCCCTGTAAAACATAAAGGAATTGGCTAACTTGCAAAATATTGATATGTGACACAATAAGTACTGCAGGGTAAAGCATACCGGAGATGCATTGCAGAATACCAGAGTGCTCCACTACAATTATCAATCTCTTGTACCTCTTAAGGGAGGTTCCTTGATGTTGGTGAGGGGGTTCTTGATCTAAGAAATTGAACTAGTTCTCCCTTGGATCAATGTAAGTACCTCCCATTACACAGATGAGTTTAGCTTATCCCTCTTGATTACAAAAGAATGACAAAATTGACAATTCTGCATCCACATCAACTCAAGACCCACATAAAAAAAACATAAAAGCAAACTCTCCAGACATTTATCAGTGCTGTATAACTCTTGGGGGTTTTACACTTAGTTTTGATTATAATATTCAGACATTTATTAAGAAACATTTTGGTTCTGGGACTTAGTTCACTCCTGTTAGGAATAAACAACGAGGTCCAGGACTAATGTGTTTTCTAATAAATATCTTTAAGTGTTAACTCTTGTGGTTTTAATGTACCTGTGGTATTAACCCGGTACATCATAATACCAAGAACTACAGTCGTCCACCTCAGCCCAGCATCCCCACATCAACCTCCTCAACACACTCATTTTATATATCAAATTGCATATACCCATGGTTTTTAGAGTTGAACAGAATTTGAGAATTATAGTGTATTAGTTGGTATTGAGTTCTGTACAGTTTCCAAATCTGATGTTTTCTTGTAAGTTCATTCTTGCAAATATATGGGTAAAGGCTAAAATAAAGTGAAAAACCAACCTCTATGCTGATGTGTTGGAGATATAAAATAGTTCAGTGAGCAGCCTTGCTTGCTCCATTCAAAAACAAAAGGTATTCTTTCAATCTAATAGGAAAAGAGGGGCACTGCAATAGGCCTGGCTAGTACTAGGTAGGTCTTGCCAGTGCTTTCTTATGTAGCTCCCCTGATCACTCATTATTTGTACTAGGCTTGCATGTGGTCATCTCATTGTTGGGTATTTGACATAGAGAGTTGCCAGGTTGAGCTGTCGACAGTCTTAAATTATTTGATACTTTTTATTAACTGAGATTGCAATGGCTTTAATTTTTTTGATCATGTTTTAGCTCTCACCATATTTCCTCTGCCCTTTCTAAAGTTCCCATTTTTAATACAGTTTGTCTTACTAGTTTTGAACATAATTGGTAATAATGGCCTAAGCAGGGTTGACATGTCACATAATTATTATTATTATTATTTTTTTTTTTTTTTTTAACAAGTCGGCCGTCTCCCACCGAGGCAGGGTGACCCAAAAAAGAAAGAAAATCCCCAAAAAGAAAATACTTACATCATTCAACACTTTCACCTCACTCACACATAATCACTGTTTTTGCAGAGGTGCTCAGAACACAACAGTTTAGAAGCATATACGTATAAAGATACACAACATATCCCTCCAAACTGCTAATATCCCGAACCCCTCCTTTAGAGTGCAGGCATTGTACTTCCCATTTCCAGGACTCGAGTCCGGCTATATAAAAATAACCGGTTTCCCTGAATCCCTTCACTAAATATTACCCTGCTCACACTCCAACAGATTGTCAGGTCCCAAATACCATTCGTCTCCACTCACTCCTAACACACTCACGCATGCTTGCTGGAAGTCCAAGCCCCTCGCACACAAAACCTTTACCCCCTCCCTCCAACCTTTTCGAGGATGACCCCTACCCTGCCTTCCTTCCCCTACAGATTTATACGCTCTCCATGTCATTCTACTTTGATCCATTCTCTCTAAATGACCAAACCACCTCAACAATCCCTCTTCAGCCCTCTGACTAATACTTTTATTAACTCCACACCTTCTCCTAATTTCCACACAATGAATTTTCTGCATAATATTTGCACCACACATTGCCCTTAGACAGAACATCACTGCCTCCAACCGCCTCCTCGCTGCTGCATTCACAACCCAAGCTTCACACCCATATAAGAGTGTTGGTACTACTATACTTTCATACATTCCCTTCTTTGCCTCCATAGATAACGTTTTTTGTCTCCACATATACCTCAATGCACCACTCGCCTTTTTTCCCTCATCAATTCTATGATTAACCTCATCCTTCATAAATCCATCCACCGACACGTCAACTCCCAAGTATTTGAAAACATTCACTTTTTCCATACTCCTCCCCAATTTAATATCCAATTTTTCTTTATCTAAATCATTTGATACCCTCATCACCTTACTCTTTTCTATGTTCACTTTCAACTTTCTACCTTTACACACACTCCCAAACTCATCCACTAACCTTTGCAATTTTTCTTTAGAATCTCCCATGAGCACAGTATCAGCAAAAAGCAACTGTGTCAATTCCCGTTTTGTATTTGATTCCCCATAATTTAATCCCACCCCTCTCCCGAACACCCTAGCATTTACTTCTTTTACAACCCCATCTATAAATATATTAAACAACCATGGTGACATTACACATCCCTGTCTAAGACCTACTTTTACTGGGAAGTAGTCTCCCTCTCTTCTACACACCCTAACCTGAGCCTCACTATCCTCATAAAAACTCTTTACAGCATTTAGTAACTTACCACCTATTCCATATACTTGCAACATCTGCCACATTGCTCCCCTATCCACTCTATCATATGGCTTTTCTAAATCCATAAATGCAATAAAAACTTCCCTACCTTTATCTAAATACTGTTCACATATATGCCTCAATGTAAACACTTGATCTACACATCCCCTACCCACTCTGAAACCTCCTTGCTCATCCGCAATCCTACATTCTGTCTTACCTCTAATTCTTTCAATTATAACCCTACCATACACTTTTCCTGGTATACTCAGTAAACTTATTCCTCTTTAATTTTTACAATCTCTTTTGTCCCCTTCCCTTTATATAAAGGGACTATACATGCTCACTGCCAATCCCTAGGTACCTTCCACTCTTTCATACATTTATTAAACAAAAATACCAACCACTCCAACACTATATCTCCCCCTGCTTTTAATATTTCTGTCATGATCCCATCAGTTCCAGCTGCTGTACCCCCTTTCATTCTACGCAATGCCTCACGCACCTCCCCCACACTCACATCCTGTTCTTTTTCACTCCTAAAAGATGGTATACCTCCCTGGCCAATGCATGAAATTACCGCTTCCCTTTCTTCGTCGACATTTAGAAGTTCCTCAAAATATTCTCGCCATCTACCCAAAACCTCCATCTCCCCATCTACTAAATCCCCTACTCTAATTATATCTAATTATATATAGTAAAATATGGCTTGCCTCAATATTGTAATGCTTATAGTTTGGAGAAATACTCATGGAAGCAGAGTGACTTAGTTCATAAATAGTAAAATATATCATGGAAAAATAGTATGCAGATAAAATTTAATATGCATTCATAATGACCAGCATTGTAATTTAAGGATTTCACAAGCTTTTTACTAATTTCATATGACTCAAGAAAGCCTTACTGTATTGGGCTGTGTAATCTACAGTCCAATTTGTTCAGCACTTTCACCCGTCAAGGAAGGTTCCTTGATGCTGATGAGGGGCTCTTGATCTGGGGAATTGGATCTACTCCAGTTCCCTTAATTAAGCCTGAATACCTTCTACATCCCCCCCCCCCCCAGGCACTATATAATCCTATGGGTTTAGCGCTTCCCCCTTGATTGTAATAATAATAATCAGCACCTTCATAAATAATCTTATCTAATCTGTGCAAAGATAGGGGTTTTCCATAAGATGGGACATAGCACACGTTTCAGTACAGTAGGGTAGTACTTTTTTTTTTCCAATATAGTAATTCAGGATATTGGAGACAAGAGGATTCTCATTAACAAAACATCTGTTGACCCACTTCAGCTTAGCTCTTTCTGTGAATATAACAGCACAAGATAAAAATGTAATTTTTTTTTCTAAAAGTTTGTATAGGTTAGCATGCTGGTGTATTATTATTATTATAATCAAGGGGGAAGTGCTAAACCCAGAGGATTGTACAGCGCCTGGGGGGAGGATGTGGAAGGCATTCAGGCTTAATTCGGGGAACTGGAGCACAGATCCAATTCCCTAAATCAAGAGCCCCTCACCAACATCAAGGAACTTTCCTTGAGGGGTCATGCTGGTGAAGGTCTCTGCTAAAGGAACTGAAACTACCTTACTCTTCCTTGGATCAATCAGTGATAATAGATCCATCATGGAAGGCACGCTGAGTCTTCAGGATAATTAATAGGATGAAAATTTCAGAACGGTAGTTTAAAAGTGGATTGTACTCTGGTGGTTACTGCCTTCCTAGTGGTCTGTGCCAGCAACTCAGCATTTTCTTTGGTCAAAATAATGGTGATATTTTCTTTGTAGGAAAGAGGGAAATTATTTCCCAGTAAAAGTAGGCCTTAGACAAGGATGTGTGATGTCACCGTGGTTGTTTAATATATTTATAGATGGGGTTGTAAGAGAAGTAAATGCGAGGGTCTTGACAAGAGGCGTGGAGTTAAAAGATAAAGAATCACACATAAAGTGGGAGTTGTCACAGTTGCTCTTTGCTGATGACACTGTGCTCTTGGGAGATTCTGAAGAGAAGTTGCAGAGATTGGTGGATGAATTTGGTAGGGTGTGCAAAAGAAGAAAATTGAAAGTGAA